ATAGTTAATTCTTCAGTTACTTTGGCTCAACTCCTGTTAAAACTGTGAATTGATATTATTAAGTAATAGCTGTCAGGTTTGAACTTGGCAGATATGAATTATGTGGATCATCTTTTGGAATACTGTTTTGGCAGAAGGAGAATAATACTGATATCCACAGCTGTGTAAAAAATCCAGCCATATTCCTCAGGGCTCTTATGCCTCTTCTAGATCATCTTACCATGGTGATGCTAGTTGTCCATCAGCCTCCTACTGCACAAATATCCCCAAAGAACTACTTGCTTTATTTATCTTCCAGTGGAAGCTCGGTGATGTCATAAGCGGTTAATACCACATCTGGTCTCCAGCTTTCTGCTGGTCAACTAATTGAGTTTTGAGACTGCTCACTTTAAAAAGCTTGCACCCTCTAATTACAGTGTATGAAATAAGGTACAACTGCACTGAAAGGCAGTATGCAGAAATAATAAACAGCTAAATTTAATTACCTGCTCATTCATGATATTTACAAGAAGTTTGGAAAAAAAATAGCAAGCAGCTCAAAAGCAAGTTAGATTGCTATTTATCATTGGACCATTCTGTTGTTATTAAGCCTGTGTGTCTACTGACTTTTTTCCACCCTCTTCATCACCAGTCTATGAAGCAGTGAGCCTATTTTAAACTTGGTGATGTTATTTCTATTATTGATGCTTCCAGAATCAAATACCGAACTAGCCCAAAGTTAATGGTTTCAATATTCATCAGTTTCACCAAAATTAGGGCTGCGTTCTTTCTCCCGTTTTCTCTGTCCAAGATTGTATAGTTTAAGAAGCTGTGTAAGTTTACAAGAAAGTAGAAGAGAAAGAAGATGGTGTATTGTAGACTGTTTGCTTCAGCAAAGGGTGTGGATTTGCTGGCTGGGGCAGCAGGCTGAGGGGGTGGTTGCTTCCTATATGATAGCCCAGCTGTGCCAAGGCTGAAAGAATAGATTTGTGTGGAAGAAAACAACGAATAAGGCAGATTTCATGTCAAGATAGAAGTTTTTAGACGGTACTTAATCCTATTGCTGCTATTGGAAGTCACTGCTCCAACAGACCATTTGGAAGTCGGTTTTTCCTATGTGTCATAGCCTTGCCTGCATTACCTGATTATAGTAGTTGGTCTACTGCTCTGAAACTCAAATTGCATGAGTTCTCACTGCTAGAATTCCTTAAAGCCATTGCAACTTTTCTTAAGTTTTCTTCTGTTAAAAATAGTCCTAAATTAACACTTGGAACTAAGCAAAAGGTTAAAGGATGATTAATAGTAGCTTGTAAATAGTCCTACTCAGCGAGTTCTGATTAATCAATGTTGTCCACAGCCATTAGGTATGGGCATAGGAGGAGGCACAGACTTGTTACTTTTCAAGTAACAAGTTTCTAGCAATAAGTACATGACAGGATCTGTCTGATGCTATCAGTGTAGACAAGCTCATGGTCAGGTTAAGTACGCACCTTGCCCCTCCACACAGTAGTAGAAAGTTGTTTTTTTTTTTTTCCTCTGTGATCTATATTCTGAAGGACTGATTAGCTCTAAAGGCATCATACTCCCTCCTTGCTGTCAAGGTGAGCAAATTCAAGCTTCCCCTTTCCCCCTTTGCAAAACTTACTTTGCTTTCTCACTTTTGAATCTGTTTTGCACTCTGCCTTGTTAAAAGCATTTACAAATGAGTAGGTAACAGGAGAAGCATCCACTTCGCCCAGTTTCTGAGAGCTTTCAGGTTTTTTTTCTGACCTAGGATGTTTTGGAGCAGGCTTGCAGTGCTTTGTGCAAGGGTTGGTGTAGTGTCGGCTAGAAGGTGGTGAGAGCTTGACTTGTTCAGCATAGAGAAGAGAAAGCTCCAGGCTGACTCTGGCACCGATTGCCCAGGGAAGCTGTGGCTGCCCCATCCCTGGCAGTGTTCAAGGCCAGGTTGGACAGGGCTTGGAGCAACCTGCTCTAGTGGAAGGTGTCCCTGCCCATGGCAGGGGGCTGGAACTGGATGAGCTTTAAGGTCCCTTCCAGTCCAAATGTTCTGTGATTCTGTGCTTCTATGACATCATACTTCCACAAGGCTGCTGCTATGTGTATTAGGGCACTATTTCTCATCAGCTCTCTCAAGAGTGACTGTGTTTATGTGTAGGAAGACTCCCATTCTAAAACCAGGAGAATATGGGAAAAAGTATAAAGTATTGATAAAGGGCCTACATTCAGCGGTATAATTCAGGATAAATAAACTTCTAATACTTGATATTCTTTGTTATTGGTGAAATGTCACAAAATTGAAATTCAACTGAAAGTTACAAGTTATTTTCAAATGCATTTTAATGAATGAGAATCGATTTCAGGTTCTGTCTTTGCAGACTTGACACAATTTGTTTTGCACTTACATTGTGCTTTTCAAGTAATCTGGAGATCTAAAAAATCTACCTGTTGATCTTGTTTAATGCTGCTTTTTGAGCTCTCTTTGTTCATATCAAATACATTTAGAGATCGTTGCATATCCAAAACGTAGAACTCTGAATTTTAACATTTGTTTTTCATGTAGATGCGTAGGTGGGTGTGATTTTCCTGCTGTGTACATTGTCGTCTAGGCATCAAATTGCAAATAGTATGTATTTAAATTCTACTGCTGCAAAATATTAATATATTGTCCTTTATTTTGAAAAGCCATAAAGATGCAGAAGATTTAATGTACTTGAAAGCATTAAAAGGAAGCTATTGTTCAACAAACTGTAGCTTTCATTTGTCCTGTAACAGTAATAAATGCAAGATGTTGAAGGGAAAGGAGCCAAATATTAGTGTGGTCCTAAGAGACCAAACAAATAATGGAGCTACTTAAATTTCTCATTCTTCTTTCGTGATTACATTCAAATCTAAAATGTACACAGATGTTATTTCTGTATAGATAGTTTTAATGTTTGCTTCTACTTTTGGTTTATTGAGCATTGTTAAATCCTTTCAGTAATGTTTATAATAGAAGGGGTTTCTTTCTTCCTTCCTTGGAAGTCTGTGGGTTTTTTTCAAGTTCAGTGTGCATCCAGTTCTTGCTGAGTGCAAGGAGTTATTAATGTAGCGGAGAGCCATGGTGCTGGCAAGGGGGTCTTACCTTGTCATCCCTGTGGGACAGTGACCTAATATTGCTGTGTTGGACCTATGGAAAGAAAAGATAGTGGATTTCGACTGATTCATAATCAAGTTCTAAGTTGTTTACTCTCTTAATGCTCTCCATCTGAACCCTGTAGCTGGCATTGTGCGAGACAGTCCCTGCTTCCATAATCTAATAAGCTAAGTATCTGTAAGAGAGCATGTGTTGTTGAAGGAGGAAACTTGAAACACTCTTTTCATGTTTTGAATATTCCCATTACCTTTCTAGTGTGATAAAACTGGTGTTTAGGTTTCCTCTACAAATAAACACAGGGATGACATGGCAAACAAAAAACTCTTCGTGGTGTGCAGCAGCACACAGCTAACTGCACTACAGGACAGGTTGTGTCAGTATTTCCATCGTATATCCAGCTATAAAAGTCTGTTTCAGTCTGAATCTTGCAAGGTGTTGCTCTGCCTGCAAATAACTTCCTTCCTTCTCAACTGAAGTGTATCTGAATTCTTAATTTCCTAAGATTTTTTATAAGCACTTCCAGAGTATTAGTTGCTGTAATACCAGCAGGAATGTTTAAATTATTCTCTGGCAGAAGGATACAGTGTGTGTGCATAAAATACTGATGATTAACGCACAATGAGATATGCTGTATTATCTGTCTAGTTAAATCATGCTTTGTGGTAAAGGGATTGTAATGCTTATCATAACAAGCAAGTTAGTTGCCCAGGGAGATGTAATAGAGGAGTGCACTGAGCAGCTTTCTGACACAATTTTGCAGTGTATGCTAATCTTGACTTCCAGTATTGTATCTGCTCTTTTGCTGAGGTGGTCTCTGGGCGACTTCAGTTTGCGCTGCGCTGCAGTGAATGGCATCATGATGTTCAGATGAATGTAGAGTAGGATTAGACCAAAACCCCATTATCTGGCCAGTCCTCAGGAGGTATGAAGTGATTGAGCTTCTGCCTGGACTGGAACTGCTTGCTGTCCAGAGGAGTGCATGAATGATCTGTGTCAGAAGCTTTTTGTTGAGGAGCTTCCAAAGAAAGCAGGGGGAATGGTGTGGATTACTGTCTTCTGTGTCGTTAAAAATCATCTTGGGAACTGATCCCTTCCTTGCCCCGACTATGAATTCAAGCACCACACTCAGTGTTTTGGATGGATAATACTTTCTTTCTGCGTTTCAAAATGTGTTAACCATGGCACTCATTTTTCTTCTTTGTGGGGTAAGGGAAACTCAAAAAAAGCTGTAGTTGAAGGAGATGCTGTTTTTCTGACCTTATTGCATTTTGGGTTTGGTTCACAGTGAATGTGATGTCAGGTCCTGTGTAACCACTGGCAGACCTAGCCAATGTTAACAGGGAGAGGCTTTATTCACACAGCTTCTTTCCTGCATCCTTGAGCTGTGCTTTGCAAGAACTGCCTCTTAGCCCCCCACTTAGAGCATTTGGAAATGAAAGCTTCAGCTCCAATTTGTATTCAGTTATACGGCAAGCTTCCGCTGAGCTAGAGGAACGCTGTGGAAATGGATCTGGTTGAACTGGTTCAACTGCCCAAATGCAGCATCAGTTACAAAAAACATCTTGCATAGACCCTGCCTGTGCTCTCTGGGGTCTCTGTGGGTCCTTTATTGACCTGTAGAGTTTGGGTTAGGGTCTAGCCAGTGAGAATACAGTCATCTTAAAAGAAAATGTGTGTATTACCTGTTGACTTTGTTATGCTTATGTAATATTTAGTTGTCTTTAATCATATTACTGATGAAAGCTGCATTAACTACGAGTGTATTTATATTGCAGATTTCATGTAAATATTGATGTTCCTGTTCAGGACAATATTAGTCCTGTGACCAAGATGTCAGGTACTTGCTATTAACCTTTAGTTCTTTTTTTCCCCTGCCCCTTTTTAGAGGCCTTTGAGTCTTTGCTTCGCTTTGCTGAAAACCGCACAAGTTCCCTGTTTGAGACAGCTTACAGACCTATGGCAAAAGAAGCAGCAGAGCCTGTTAAAGAACTTTTTACAGACATCTCTCTCTACATTCTGGGTGCGGAGACTACAGTGGAAAGTGCAGTATTACGGTTCTTTGACAGTCTCTTTCCCCTGGTGTATAGTCGGCTAATAAACCCAGGAATTACAGATTTATCAGAGGACTATACAGAGTGTCTACGGCTTACAAGGCAAGACATAAATCCTTTTGGACACTATTCTAAAAACATGGTTACAGAGCTGTCAAAATCTCTTTGGGCAAGTAGGATGCTGAGCCAGGCTCTCAGTCTGGGCATTGAAGTGATAAATACTACTGAACATACAGCTCTCACGAAGGAATGTAGCAAAGCTCTAGTGAAGATGCAGTATTGCCCACATTGCCAGGGCCTGACGCTCATCAGGCCCTGTGTTGGATATTGTCTAAATGTAATGAGGGGCTGCTTGGCCAGTGTGTCAGAACTGGATGCACAATGGAGGGAGTATATCTCCACGCTGGAATATCTGACTAATGAAATGGCTGCCTCACATGATGTGGAAATTGCACTGATGGGAATCTGGAGCTCCATCAATGAAGCCATCCTGCATGCACAGTTGAATGGACCACAGCTCTCTGCTACAGTAAGTGCTCTCTGATTATTCACTACTCCCATTTATCACTTTCATTATTTGAGGGATAAACATTTAAACAAATTGGTGTTGTCTTTGCATCAGGTTTTAGTCTTCAACTAGATCTTTGTTTAATAGTCCATGAAAACCCTGTGCTGGGCACTGCTGAGGCCGCACCTCAAATCCTGTGTTCAGTCCTGGGCCCCTCACTACAAGAGAGACATTGAGGGCAATGGAGCTTGGTGAAGGGCCTGAAGCACAAGTGTGATGGGGAGTGGCTAAGGGACCTAGGGAGTTCAGTCTGGAGAAGAGAAGGCTTAGGTGGGACCTTGTCACTCTCTACAGGTGCCTGACAGGAGGATGGAGGCAGGAGGTGGCTGGGCTCTCCTCCCGAGGAGCAATGGATAGGACAAGAGGAAATTGCCTGAGCTGGGCCAGGGGAGATTTAGACTGAATATTAGGAAAAAAGTCTTCTCCATTCAAAACCAATGTAAATGAGGCCCTCAGTGACATGAGTTAGTGGTGGACTTGGCACTGTTGGGGAGCACCTGAACTTGATGATCTTAAAGGTCTTTTCCAACCGTATTGGAATAGCATCCAATAGTTGGGTTCAGCAGAGTCTGCTTTGAAATTAAAGACTTGGGGAGGAAGTCTGTTGCTTGAGAAGCAACCCTGTAAAGCAGATAGCTCTGGCTTGTGTGCAGAATTCTCTAAACAGAAAGTTGGGGTGTATTATGCTGGATGTCAACAATGTATTTTCTTACTTTAAAACATCTGATCCCTTAACTCAAGAAGTAGTGTTTCCCTGGTGTGTGTTTGTAGTTGTGGATATTCCAGAGGAACTGGTGTAAGGGGATAGAAAATTTGCTTTCTAAATAAAGGCAAAGAAATTAAAAGTCCGTAGTTTTATAGTCCCTTTACTATAGTTTTGACTGAGACATCAGAAAGTCGGTGCTGTACTGAGAACATCTGTCATACAAAAGTTAAAGAAGAAGCATGGAAAAAAATTTGACATATTTGACAGCATTTACGTGAATAAAGGATGCAAATACACAAAGTGGATCCATTTTTGTAAGTGGTAGCTTGAGAAGGAAAGAACTAGGTTGGTAGAACTGTCTCATAAATAATAGCAGTAGATGATTAGCAGGTGTTCTCTTATCTGTTGAAGATTGGATCAGAAATTATTGAAATGACTAATGGATGCAGCAGCCTACGTTTGCTTGAAGTTCAACATGAGTGTCAATGGAAAAATTGTAGCAGTGTGGCCTTAAGCAGGGCAAAGACTAATCTAAAAGATGTAGATAGATCTGCCTGTCGTGAAAGTAGAGGAATTCTTGCAGAGGACAAATGAGAAGGAAACACACAAATCTGAACATTTCATTCCTGTATCGCTTTGGCCGCCATAGGATGTACTTCAAAGAGTCTACAGAGAGAAGCTGTGGTAGAAGGTAATATGAAGTAAGGCAGTATTTTACTAGGAGAAAAATGCCTGGATGTTTGTAACCTTTCAAATTACCTAATATCACAGTTCTATTCTGGTCAATTTAGAACACCTGCCAGAGCCGGAGACATACAGTCATTATAATATGTAGATTATTAAAAAACCCCAACCGCTTCTGGTGATCTGATAAACTCCTTTCATCAATGACACTTATGTTTGCTAGTTTATCGGACATCCAAGGATAAACATGAAAAATTAAGAGAACCTTTCTCCAGGTTCTTGGGTAGTGGACGGTAGGCATTGGAACCTACACGCATTGCAGAACAGGAGGTTTTCATTGTGCTAATGCCTATTTGACAGTCTCATAATGTATCCCATAAAGAAGTGTTAAACCTAGAACACATCAGGAACTATGTTCTTGCATCTGCTTTTATTTTCAATCAAATGTTATTTTTCTTGTGGGTCTAGAAGGGAAATGAATATCAAAGTACGTCCATATTAGTTTTATCTGACAACACACAGCTTCATCACAGATTACACAGAAATAATTAGGGATATAATTAAACTTTCTGACTAATCTCAGCAAACCCAGTGTTATAGATGTCTCCTACAATGTATGCAGTATGTTACAAGATGCTACAACATAATTCTGCATTCTGTTGGCCTCCTAATTAAGATGCACTTGCTTAGCTTGCTGATGGTACAATTCACAATCCAGGGGAATATCAGATAACTACAGATACGCTCCATGAGTGCATTGCTTTGGCTGATTTGGAAGCAGCATCTGTCTGAAGTGTCTTTGTCCGTTCCCCAGCAGTATCTCTAAACACCTTCCATTCAGAATGAGTTCAGAAGGTGCTGTTGTTTGAAATGACATGAATTCTTTTTCCCCAAAGTTATCTTTGTTTTCTCTCGGTAGTGGTATCTCTGTGCACAAAACAAGGTCGTGTGCTGTTTTAGGGGCTGTTCTATGGGATAGCAAAGGATGTTTTCTGTTTGAAAAGAAAAACTATATGCCAGTGTGTGTTATCCTCAGTCCTTTAGCTTTTCCAGTTGTCGGCAGGGCAAGATTGTATTTCGAAGACGGAGTATATTGCACTATTTGAGCAAGCATTAGTCTGATACTGATTTAAAACTTTACTGATTAGTTACAGAGGATAGCCATTATTTAGGAAATTGAGCCCAATTAAGCTGTATTTCCTTCACTGAAGCAACGGAAAGGAGTTCAATCTCAGCTTCAGGATTTCCGGCTGTGAGATGGCTTCTTAGAACCCGGGATCCTATTCTCAGGTACACTTTGGGGCTACAAATGATGAGATTTGTACCCAGTGTATTTACCGTTTGTTTTACTTACGGGAAAAAAAGATACCTTCTCTTTTACCTTCATAGAAATGTAGAGATCTTTTCCTGTTCATGCAGCTTTTACAGAAATGAAACACTTTGGATACAGTTTCTCTTACAAATGCCGTAATCAATTTCATTCAATTATAAATAATCTATGGAAAGATCCTTCAGGAAAACAGAGCACTTGTAGTAATTTTCCTTTATCCTGAGGCAGCCGTCATTAATGCACCTGCCCTTTTAGGAAACATTTCACTTTTTTTTTTTTAATAGACAATATGGCTAAAAATTCAGGTTATTTTTAGCTCACTGCCTGCCTAAATGGTTATGATTAGTGGAAAGTTAGTTTTCTTTAAAATGGGGAAGGGGTGAAATAAAGCAATATAGCACTTAGGGAGCTTTGCTCAAATGAAGTGCAGTCAATTATTATAAGTTTAAAAATAATCCTATTTGTCTGAGGAGTTAATAACTTGAGGAGACTGGCCTCTGCTGATTTCCTCCACTACAGCCAACAGGATTGCCTGATATGCTGGGGTAGCATGTGTGAAAGGTCGCCTTTAAGATATTAGCAATCTCTCCTCAGATTCCTCCAGAACGTGCCATGCCATTTGTTTGATGCTACTGGCTTGCATCCAGCTTACTTAACCTAATGCAGGCCAGCCCCAGTCTCTGCAGCATCAGCGGTCATCATCATTACTTACTGGTTTGTCTGCTGGAATCTAATTGCCTTCCAGATTGGTCAGAACCCTGACGGCTGCTTGGTGCCAGCTACAGAGACCAAATTTCATTCCCCCTTACATACAGTTTTTGAGACTTTTCTTCGTTGTTTTTTCTTCTTGTGTCTTTGTGTTTTAAAGGTGGGCTTTCGATACCATATTCAGTCTATGGTATTGCTGTGTTTCAAACCCTCTATTTGTGCATCATTCCTCATGTTTTATTTTTTATTCAAAGTGAAAGTAAAATACAAAATACCCTCAACTAAAACGCAGGGAGGAGGACAAGCATAACACCGTCTGCATGAGTATTGAAGAGGGACTTTTGACAAGGGCCTGTAGTGACAGGACAAGAGGGAATGACAGAGGGGAGACCGAGAACATGTAAACTTACGTATTAGAGGTTGCCCAGGGCAGTGGTGGTGTCACCTTCTCTGGAAGTGTTAAAAAATCATATAGACAAGGCCCTGAGTGACACGGGTTAGTGCTGGACTTGGCAGTATGTGCTGAATGGTTGGACTTGATCTTGAAGGTCTTTTCCAACCTGACAGAGGTGATTCTGTGTCCAGTGCTGCAGTTCTGGGTTTCAGTAGAGCTTGGTTATCTTGCTTGCAGAGTAGCACTGCTTTTTCCTGGTCTGGATGTGAAAGGCACTGATGACCTGTTGGATGGTTTCCTGCTGGACAGACAAGAGCTCAGGAGTCTGTCCTGCTCAGGTACAGATTTCCTGTTAGCTTTGCCAATCATCATTACCTCACAGAGATTCATCTCTCCTCTGTCTCTGTCAGGTCACTCCTCTGTCTCTGTCAGCATATAAGCATATAAGAAGCATTTGCCCACACTGGATATTTGGTGCTTTTCTCTGTATATCTCTTAATTCAAAGGGCAGTGAAGCCATATGGAAATAACTTTTTAGAACAGAAGAATTCTGTATTGCTTATGTTGCTGTGTATTAAGGCTCTGTTTGTCAAGGGGAAGGCAGAGGCAAGTTTTGTAAAGGAGAAACATTTTATGGTCTGAATTTTGCTTCAATCCAACAGAATTTGAACACATAATTGCTCATTGTTCTTTTAAGCCATTTCCCCAGGTATTGCTACAACTTCTGCTCTGCATGTGGCTTCCTTTTTGTGAAGCCGGTCTGCCTGGCCACATGGTGGAAAATACAAAGCAGTGTGTTAGCAGAAATATTTGGAATGTGGGAATGCATGTATTCCTCTGGGTTCTTGCTGCATGAAGTTCAGAAGCAGAGTGCTTTCCTTGTTACTAATGCTGTAATGGCTGAAAAAGTATTAAATGAAGCGAATGTAAAAAGCCATAGACCTAATATTTTTAGAACGGTCAACTGTTCTAAAAGGCAAAGGTCCAACACACTGTATTTCTTCATTATAGAAGTGATAAAAGCAAAAGTTAATAAAGGGCTTGATAGGGATTGTAAGACCTAGATATGATCAGAGATTTAGCATTAGGAGAAAGCAGAAAGTTAATGAAATTCTTGGATATAAGCTTACCAATTAATG